CTATAGCAAAAGAATAAAAAAGGAAAGCAAATATTCTCCCTCTGAAAGCCTAAAATAGTATAGAATCTCATGAAATATACCCGAGGACTAGCTTCATAATGGGTAATTAATGAATTAGCTAGCAATCAGGTTCATACAGTAAGACTATAATTTCTCCTAAGCGAAGTCTGACATCTTTAGGTGAACAAAAAGCCCTACTGAAATTGGCATCCTTTATCAAATTAGCATCTATTTATTGCCACCACTGTATGAACCAGGTTGCTCGTGCCTTTCATAAAGCTAGTCCTCAGGAATGTCATGAGATTCTAAACTATTCTAGATTTTCAGAATGAGCCTTAAGGTTGACAGATGCATACCTGCGTAGGTGAACTGCTGAAGTAGTAATGAATGCAAAGCCTATTCAAGGCAGCAGACAGAACTCTGCTAACCTCCTAAAGCAGGTGTGGGCTATTTTTTCAGCACCAAGAGGTTGCACTTTTGACACTATTTTGACGGATGGGCACGATTATGGTTACATCAGAATTTCCAGTGTATTTGGGGAAGAATATTTTCAACAGTTTCCTACCCAAATTCAGTCCAGTTTTAGAAGTTTTTAAAAAGGGGTCTATGAAACATCATCTTTTCATGACATGACTCCCCTTTTTCTGAAAGGCAGAAATATCAGTGCTCTTAATTTTTATAAACCCAGAATTGTACTCCGAATTCTCTGAAAATAAATAATGATAAGAAATGACTTAGATTTGTAAATAGTTACTAATCAAAAATGGCTTTTCATCCCATTACAGGGCTGAAAAACATTTTGGTCACAAAGAACAAACTATAAATATGTCATTAAGGGTGAAGCCATATCTGAAGCTAAATATTTAACTTTGCAACGTTGGGCTGGCAACCTCCTTATGTAGAACTCCTAAGATTTTCTGACTGCTGGCTTTGCTAGCTGTCAAAAACATGTGGAGAGTTTCATTTTGCCTATTTCATAACTTGGGAAGTTAAAGAACTGCACACACTTTATTGCACACACACAAAAACCCTAAAGATGCCACATCTGGTTGGCTTTAAACCTGATTAGGGGTTGTGTGTGTGTGTGTGTGTATATTTCAATGTATGCTGTGAACCCAGAAAATAAAAGAAGCAAGACGAGACAATAAGTTTGAATAGGGATGCTGCAATGGTTGTGTGAAAAATGGTCATAAGTCACTTTTTTCAGTGCCCTTGTAATTTCAAGTGGTCACTAAACAAAAAGTTGTAAGTCAAGGACCACCTGTACTTAAATATTCAGGTATTTGCAAAGTGTTAAGTGCTCACTGATCTCGCTGAGGCAGCCTTTCCAACATCATCTGCCATTTGGCTTCTGGGATCTCTCTCGAATGATTGAATTTTTTCTCCACAGGATGGTCCAGAACTTCTTTCCCTGCCATTTTAATCTCTGTAGCATTGGAAAAAATAGAGGAGATAAAGGGGATTAAAAGAGAACAAACATAATGGTATTGTAATGCTTCAATAATGCTTCTTATCAGTACAATGGACCTCCACTTTTACCCAAGCCTGGGGTGGGGGGTGGGGAGTGCTTTAAGATTCATTTTAGATTTTCAGTAATTAATAGATTTCCTTAAAACAGGGAGGGAACCTGGAAAATTAAGCTGCTGTAAGGAATAGTTTAAACTGAAGTTTACAGTTCTTGCTCAGAGTCTGCAGCACTTCCGAAACAGGTATATTTTATTATTACAAAAACAGGGCGCCGCATGTCTTTGCTCAAAGAAATATTTTTACATTGTCACAAAATATAATTGTCTGCTGGTACACACTTAATAAAACAGAATGGGGGGGGGGACTTATTTTCCAAAGCACCAGAAGGCAGGACAAGAAACAATGGATGGATACTAATCAAGGAAAGAAGCAACCTGGAATTAAGGAGAAACTTCCTAACAGTGAGGACAATTTATCAGTGGAACAGCTGGCCTTTGGACCTTGTGGGTACTCCATCACTGGAGGCTTTTAAGAAAAGACTGGACAGCCACTTGCATGAAATGGTATAGGGTCTCCTGCTTGAGCAGGGGGTTGGACTAGAAGACCTCCAAGGTCCCTTCCAGTTCTATTCTGATTGATGTTACAGTGCCATTCCTCTGAACAGCATTTACAGGACTTATCATTCCAGTAAAAGGTATTAACTACTACAGAGGGTCACAATATCCCATATAAATATGGGCTCTGTCCTTGCTCCAAGGAAGATATAGAAGATTTTACCCATTATTTATTGTAGTGCTCTTATTTCTCCTTCAGCGCGTGGAAAGTTTCTAGACTCCCCTCTTGATAAGGAAATCATTTTGGCCTAATTCATATAAATTTGAATACATAATGAATTGAGAGAAGGAACCATGCTATGGAAATCAGCAAGCTTTGCCTGGGCTGCTGCTAAACAATACCTATCAAAAGTTTCTAATGCTTTCTGGTATTTTATTTGCTGGAATGAGAGTGTTTGAATGTTCACTTATTTTATCAACATCTTTATTAATGCCATTTTTAGGTAGGCTTTATTTTTGTTTCTACCAATGGCCAAAACAATAACTAAACTGAAAGCTGTTCAGTGTTACTTGATTGAGTTTGGCAGTTATAGAAATTGAATAAATAGACTGATTTATTGATGAAGCCTATTCATTTTGTCTAATGCCAAGAGAGCAACAAAGAAGAAAGTTAATTCTTACACATCAAAATCCTGCTCTTCCTATTGTAAACTTTAAACAACTGAAACCATCTATGCTGGAAAATGAAGACCTGTAAAAGGTCTCGATTTATTTTAATAATGTCCTGAAACATCAATCAGTCAAGATGCTCTGATCCAATGCCTTACATTCATTTTTTCCCTTTCGATCCTATCTATTTTTATATGCACTGGCAAACTAAGGAACAGAAGCCCCTCCCTCCCTCCTTTTTACTTTGTGTTGTTTTTATTCTGTAAAAAAGGTTTGATAAAAATTAAAATTGATTTGAAGTTGCAAAATAACTTAATATATATATTAATATAACAAAAGAACAAAAAAACACACAATGCTTTTAGGTATGCTAAATCACAGCTGCCTTCAAACTGTTGAGAAATGACTTTACTAAACTTTTTTTTGCCAACACACCTCCCTTAGAAATCCCAGCCCCTAAATGAACACTTAGCCTTTTGTCACTTTGAGTGTACACTAATCATACATTAAAACAAAATTTTGTTGCACACAGCTCTCAAAAGGTCACCATCTGCAATATACACTACATAAACATTACACAGTAAATAAATACAAAATTATGCATATACCCACATATATGACACGGAGAAACACAGTCTAGTTCATATGTATACATGTGCATCGTGAGGAAAACAAATCTTGCAAGTTTACTAGATGGATGGCATGTACAGTACTTCAAAACGAGGGGAGCAACGCAAAGGAAATTGTGAAAACAAGGCCAGGAAACTTTGGGAAAAGTGGATTTATTGTCACGGTGTAACTAAAAGTTTCTTTCTTCACACCCCTGGGCTCTTCCTGCACCTCACATGTTGGGAAACTTTGTTTTGGGGCAACAAGTGTCAATTCAACAGTGAGATGGGCAGCATGTAAATTTAGTAAATGAAAGTTGGATTGTTCTCTGAAGCAGAAGCTGACCTCACTCTGGTGCTCTGATTTGCAGTGGAGTTCATCATCAACCCCAGAGAGATGATCCATGCAGGTTAGCACCTCCCTACTATCCCTCCCTCTCATCCACTCTTTTTTTCATTCCACTCCTTCCTTTCTTCCTTCTATCCATCCACTCCTTCCTTCCTTCTGCCCATCCATTACCTTCCTTCTGTCCATCCAATCTTCCTTCCACTCCTTTCTTTCCTCCTTCTGTCCATCCACTACCTTCCTTTTGTCCACCCATTACCTCCCTTCTGTCCATCAATGCCTTCCTTCCACTCCTTTGTTCCTTCTGCCCATCCACTTCCTTCTACCCATCCACTACCTTCCTTCCTTCTGTCCATCCATTACCTTCCTTCCACACCTTCCTTCCTTGTGTCCATCCATTACCTTCTGCCCATCCATGCCTTCCTTTTACTCCTTTCTTCCTTCTGCCCATCCACTACCTTCCTTCTGTCCACCCATTACCTTCCTTCTATCCATCCATACCTTCCTTCCACTCTTTCCTTTCTTGCTTTTGTCCATCCACTTCGTTCCTTCCTTCTTTCCTTACCAACCAACCAACCGCTTTCAGCACTTAGGAAGGTCGGCCCGATGCAGGAAGAACCTACCCCCACCCCGCCCCGTTTTGCAGCAGCGCTGCAGCCACTTCCCTCTCGCAGGTAGCAAAAGTCTCCTCGTCCTGCAGCCTCGCCCTCCCCTCTTTAACACACACACACCCCGTCGTAACCCCTGCGTCGGAATCCCTGGGGCGAGGTTTGCCCGCAATCGCGACCTTCCTAGCTGGGCAGCGAAAGGTCCGCAGGCAGCCCACCAAGCCGGAGCTATACATAAGGGATGTCTTCCCTTCTGCAGCAATCCCTGCATTGCACCCGCGGACCCCGCCCGGCGTTGTTTAATTATAAGGTCCGTTTGGCAGGAGAGGAGCCAGCCCGGAAGGCCTCCCGGTTTAGAGCAAAGGAGAACCGATCAACGGTGATGGTGGTGGTGGCGGCGGCGGCGGGCAACGGAGCTTTCTCACTCGCACCTCCCCGCCCTTTCCCAAGCATTTTCCTTCCACCTACGTTTTATAGGCGCTTCCCTTTTGCTAGCCGCAGCCCCGGTCAGACGGGAAAGGTCTCCCGGTTCAGGGTCTTTTCTCGCTCCGGGCCCCGCGAAGAGCCCCCGAGGTCGAATCGCTCGGTTGGGTCACACGCCGCCCGTGGGGCCCGCCATTTTGGCCGGTCACATGGCTCGGCTCGGATTGGGCGGCTGGACGAAGGCGGCCGCGCGAGGGAGCCTCCGATTGGCTGGGCCGCTCGCGCTCAAGGCCCTCCCCCCTCCTTTCCCTCAGCTATCCGGCCGTGCTGAGGCGCGTAATCAGCCGGGCCGGAGAAGCAGCCGCGCTTGCTGAGGGGAGGCGATGGCGGTGGTGGCCGCGGCGGCGGCGGTGAGGCTGGCGGCGGCATTGGCATTATTGCGGTGGTTTCCTAGCAGATGGAGCTGAGCCGGCGCGGGCGGGCGGGCAAGCGAACGAGGAGGCCGGCTGAAACGGACGGACGGAGCGGCTTTATTATTCCACCACCCCTCCCGACCGCAGGAGCCCCTTCCTCCGATGAAGGCTCAGCCTGCCAGCGCGGTAATAATCCCCCTGCAAAAATATATATATATATCCCCCTGTAAATGGCTCTTTCGGGGCACCCTGGGCTCGTTCCTCCTCCTCCTCCTCCTCTTCGCCGACGCGCGGACTCCACTCCCCATCGTCCCCAGCCAGCGTAGCGAAGGGGGCGTGTCAGTCCTTCTGGCGTGAAGAAGCCCATCGTTCCCGGCAGCCTGTCCTGACGCTACCACTCCCCATCCCCTCGCTCGCAGGCTTTGGGATTGACTGGCGTCCTCCCCAAATGGGTTAGATACCAGGCCCTTTCTGGGTGCCTTGAACTACCATCCCCATCATCCTGGGCTGGGAAAGGTGTGCGGGGGGGGTATGTGGATCCAGTAAGGAGACTAGCTCCTGTGGTCCTTTCCCCCCCCCCCCCCCCACACAAGGGGGTTGGGCTCTTGAATCCCCTCACGACTTCTTCCTCCCATTTTGACATCCCCATTTTTTATTTTGACATCCCCATTTTTATGCTTTTTCTCACTTTCCTACAAACCCGCCGAACCCCCTTTTCCTTTATTTAGCTTGCTTATTTCATCCCTTGCTTGAATCTGGCTTCGTCCTTGCCTCCATCACTTGACACTTCATTTTTATCCTTCACTCCCACCCACTTTCCAGCCTGCTTGAAACATCTTCCCACCCATGGTCATGCCTTCTCACTTTCTGCTTCTTTTCACTTTTAGCCCTTGCAACCTTTTTTTTTTTTTGCCTTTTTGCTTCCATTTATAGACCTCTGTCCTGTGATGAAACTTTCATTTATCTCAGTTTTCTTCTCCTTGCTTCCCATCTGAACAGCTTGCTTCACCCGAAGTATATAACCAACTTAGTTAAAGAGCTAGCTTATTATTACGTTTGGTTTGGTTTTAATGGTTTTAGCCTGAAGACTTGGCTTTTTTTTTTTTGCAGACCCATTGCATTGTGCTAATCCAGAAAATGCATTAATTTGTTAATCAAGTGGAACATCCGAAGTATTCGTTTATTTATTTGATTCGTACAGCTGTCCACCTCACTTTTACATGAGGGGTCCTTGGTGTTCTCTGGTCTTGGTTGTTTTCTTGAAGATGTTTCATCACCTAAGTGGGTAAACCTCAACAGTTCGTCATCCGTATGCAGGTAGTCCTCAGCGATCACAACAAAGCCCAACACTTACGTTGTTAAGTGAGAAATTTCTTAAGTGAGTTTTGCCCCATTTTATAACTTTTTCTTGTCACATTTGTTACCCCAATCACTGCAACTGTTAAATTAGTAGTATGGTTGTTAAGTGAATCTGTTTTGCTCGTTGACTTTGCTTGTTAAAAGGTAGCAAAAGGCGATCACATGACTCTGCGACATTGCAACTGTCGTAAATGTGAGTTCGTTGTCAAGCATCCAAATGTAAATCACATGCCCAGGGGATGCTATAACGGTTGTAAGTGTGAAAAATGGTCACAAGTCACTTTTTTCAGTGATGTTAGAAGTTTGAATGGTCACTAAGTGAGCTGTTGTAAGTTGAGGACTACCTGTACTTTTATGCGAGTCTAGGAGACTTATAATAAAATACATAAATGCACAGTGTAAGAACAGAAAATAAAAATAACCACAAGCAGTAGGTCATAATATAATCAATCAGCCAGACAGCCAGGCTCTGTGATACACTCAGGGCTATAGACTTGGACACAAAGCCAAGTTTTCAAAGCCTTACGAAATGCCAACAAGCTCAGATCCACTTTAACATTAAGTGAGGATGATATTCTAAAGCAGGGACCCCCCCAATCCCTGGACCACGGGCCAGTACCAGTCCACGATCTGTTAGGAACCAGGCCACACAGCTGGAGGTGAGCAGCAGGGCAGTGAATGAAGCTTCATCCGTATTTGCAGCTATTCCCCAGTGCTGCTGCCTCAGCTCCACCTCATTAGATTCTCATAGGAGCATAAACCCTACTGTGAGCTGTTCACGTGTGGGAGCTCCTCCACACCCCCACCCCCACCCCCAGGCTGGTCCGTGGAAAAACTGTCTCCCACAAAACTCTTCCCTGGTGCCAAAAACGTTGGGATCGCTGTTCTAAAAGGGTGAGTGCTCCAACAGAAAAAAAAAATCTCCTCTCAGCCCCACCAGCTGATAACTTTGTAGCTGACAGTGCCCAGAGCATGTCTCTCCTGCCACTTCAGGTAGGACGGGTAGAAAAGATCAGTTCAGTTCCACCAGCAGGTTTCAGTTCACCTATCCTGTGTAAACCTTGCCTGGACATTGACCCACCTGTCTCCCTTGCTTCTCACCTCAGTCCCATCATACTGATGACTCTTTACCATTTTTCTTCTGCTGCACATTTCTCCATCTTTTATTTTCTCCCCTGATGTACCCTGACTCACCCAGAAACTCATTTTCATGTAGTCTGTGGCTGTGTTCGTATTCCTGCTTATAATTCACCTCTGCTTGAGGAGAGTTTGTTCCTGCCAGTTTTCCTTGCTGCCTCTTAAAATCTTTTTTTGGATTGTCTCTATATGCCACTGGGCACATCTAGTCTTTGCTGCTGATCTAGGATCCTTTCAGATTTTGCTATTCAATTCGTTTTCTTAATGGTCCTTCATTCCACATTGAAAATACACTCACATTGCTTCTTGTAGGGCCTCATTTCAACTTCTTTTTCCCCCTACTTTCTTATTCCCCCCCATCTCCTCTCAAACCTGCCATGATCTTTAAACTTTTGTCATGCCTCAGTTTTTATGCAGCTACTTGTTTCCCTTTATGTAGAGATAGTGCTCTGGTTCGCATAACCTTCCAATTCAACATCTTCAATGTTTAATAGCATTCCTTCTTCATTTTGCGGCTGGTACTGAATTTTAGGAGCAGAGGATGCTCCTAAAAGTGCAGGACTAAAATTCTGACAGTGCATTAAGAGCATCGAAGGAGCCTTTCTCCAAATCACAGGGGTGAAAAGATCGTATGATTTTGAATGTGCATTCCTTTTTAGTCATGTCATCGCTGCTCTTGAATTTGCACAGGTTATTCCTGTGTTTTTTAACAGGACAATTTTCTTCATTTCCTCCCTTTTTTTTGCATGCATCTGTCAACATTTCAAAAACATATTCATGTCTCTAACTTAATTCTAATAATTTGTTCTACTCTCACTTTTTAGAGCATAGCCTTTGGCTCCTTATTCAAATGTAGTTCTTATTCCCCAAAGTTTGCACATCTGTTTCTTTAGAGAGCCATGGTGGTGACCTTGGAAAAAACTACGCGAAAATAGTTACTAAAAAAAGATGTTCTAAGCCAGAAAATGGAGATTTTTAAAAAAATTGTCCAAGAAAGCTCGCCTCTTCTGCTCCATCTGTTATCCACATCACACCCTGTAAGAAGCCTATTGCATAGAACCAAAGAGATAATCTTGGATATTTTTTAAAAAAAAATTACTTAATTTTTTAAAATTCTGCCTATATAATTTTTATATAAATAACTCAAGGCAGCAAAGATACTTAATGCTCCTTCCTCCTCCCATTTAACCCACAACAGTAACTCTGTGAGGTGAGTTGGGCTGAAAGAGAGTGACTGGGCCACCCAGCCGGCTTTCATGCCTAAGGCAGGACTAGAACTCACCATCTCCTGGTCACTGGCCCAAAGTCACTCAGGTGGCTTTCATCCCTAACGGGGCTAGGATTCACCATTTCCTGGTCATTGGCCCAAAGTCAACTTGGTAGTTTTCACCCCTAAAACAGGACTAGAACTCCCAGTCTCCAACTTCTTGCCTGGTGTCTTAACCACTATGCAGAGATCTATGTAGAGATTATGGGTACAAAAACAAGCCTTGCATGCTTTGAACGTGGGAAACAGCAAGCAAGAGAAAGAAGCTTAGAAGCTCCCCCTTGATTCACTTAAACAGAGTTTCTCAACTAGGGTTCCACCGAACCCTAGAGTTTTGTGAGAGATCACCAGGGTTCCCCTGAGAGATCATGATTTATTTTCAAAAAGCAGAGACAGAAACCAAGCCCTCCCAACTGCCAACCGTGGGTTGGCCTGCTGGAGTCTGGGATGGGGGCGGGGATCGCACTCATGCGCAAGCAGGGCAAACAAAGCGCCAGCCAATGAGTCAGGAAAAGAAGAGCGAGGAACGGCAATCGGTGAGACAATGTGCAAGACTCAGGCATCACGGGGCTTCCCTGCTGGGGCTCTGCTTGTGGGCCGACCCCTGCTTTTCTGTAGATGCAGCACATCTGGGAACTTCATCTAGGGTAGGTAAATGGGATTTGGAGCTGGCCTGGCAGCAGCAGGAGCCTCCCACAGAGGTGGCAGGGGGAGAGGAGGGTCAGTAAAAAAAAACTGGTTGTAACTTGAGGACTACCTGTACTTGCTTTATGGCCTGCTGGATTCTCCTTTCACATTTATTTAATTGCTTCAGCTGCTCATTTCAGATAAGCAACTGCCGGTGGCATGCACAATCATAAAACAATCACAATACAGGTTGTCCTGGAGTTATGACCATCATTGAGCCCCAGATTTCTGTGGTTAAATGAGGTATTTCTTAAGTGAGTTTTGCCCCATTTTACGACCGTCCTTGCCGTAGCTGTTAAGTGAATACCTGCAGGTGTTAAATTAATAACAGGGTTGTTAAGTGAATCTGGCTTCCCCTTTGACTTTGCTTTTCAGAAGGTCAGAAAAGGGGATCACACGACCCCAGGACATTGTAACTGTCATAAAAAGGAGTCAGTTGCCAATTTTAATCACCCTGGGATGCTGCAACAGTTGTGAGTGTGAAAAAGTCACTTTCTTCGGTGCCATGGTTACTGTGAACGGTCACTAAACTAACTGTTGTAAGTCGAGGAAGACCGGTATAGTACAAAAATATATATCTACAGGTCGTCCTTGACTTACGGCCACAATTAAGTTCAATATTTCCATTGTTAAGTCCGCCGTTTGTTAAATTGCCCCATTTTATGACATTTTTCTCGCCACAGTCGTGAAGTGAATCCCTGCAGTTGATAACCCAGTAACCCAGTTGTTAAGTAAATCCGGCTTTCCCATGGACATTGCTTGTCCAAAGGTCGCCAAAGGAGATCCCGTGACTTTGGCATGGTCGTAAGCATGAATCCGTTGCCGAGCATCTGAGTTTTGATCACCTGTTGTGGTTAGCCTGCAGCAGGTACAGATGGCTGAGGAGAGCGAGGACTCAAATGAGGGCCCAGGACCATTAGGGAGTGGACTGCTGCTTTCAGAGATTGTGGGGGCTGGCAGCAGCGATGAGGAGGTTCCCAAGGAACCTGTGCCAAGTGCGCGTGCGCACAGGATTGCTCGCAGGAAGAAGCAGCTGCAACAGCATGAGCGACTCGGGAGTAGTGGCCCCTCCAAGAAGATAAAAGCCAGCTGTGAAACGAATGTTCTTTGCAGGAAGCAAAGACGTTTTGAAACTCAGCCTCGTGGACATTGCAGTATCTTAAGTTGGTATTTGAAGACTCTTGTGTTGTGAAATATTTCTGATCTGTTATTCTAGGCAGTTTCACACAATTTTGGCAAGGTTTGTGCAGCCTTTTAACCGGGGATTTATAAGACTCATTAAAAGGTTTCTGTTCCCTTTAGTTATTGTTTGTCTTATTGGAAAAGGCTTTGGGGCAAAACATCACATGATCCTGGGATGCGACAAAGATTGTGTGAAAAAAAAAAAGTCATTGGTTGCTTTTTTCCAGTGCTGTTGAAACTCTGGTCACTAAAAAAACTGTTGTAAGTCGAGGACTTCCTGTATATGAGACAACCAAGAGATTTTCTTGATTTCATCGTGAGGGGAAACTGTACTGAAAACTCTTCTCTTCTCTTGGTAGGTGGTGGCTGCTTCCTGAGCTCAGCGCGAAATGACCAGAACTCACTTGTCCCGATGCCCCGTGGTTTGCTTCACCAGCCTGCCCTGGGAACAGCACTGTCGCTTTAATAATTCCATGTCAAGGGATTGCTTTCAATCCTCTTGGGTGTAATACAAGAGGATCAGAGGGATGTTACAGACCAAAAGGCTGGGTGGAGAGACTACAAATGAGAGTGCGGCTGTGCGGGTAACCAACTGAAACTTCGGAGCTTAGTTTCCAGCATCCAGAAGATCAGGATGTCTGTCTAATGGGCAAAAATCCTTGTGACTGCATCCGGAAGAAAGAAAGAAAAACTCCTCTTTGAATTGCCTCCAGCTTCTTTTAGAATTTTATTGGGATTATTTAAGACGGGGTTGGGCGGTTTTGGACTCTGGAATACTGAGATTGCCAAGTTTTTGGACTGTGTGCCTTAATTGCATTTTTTTGGGGAGTGGGGAGGGATGTTCACTGAACTTCTGAATACAATACAAAAACAATCCTTTGTGGTTGGAAGAGGGATTCTTAGACGCTTTTGTAAACGGATGTATGTTTTCTCCGATATATTTTTATAGCTTGGGAAAATACTTTGCAGATTTTGACAACGGCTTGTGGCAGACATTCTCTCAAACTCCCCTCCCTGCCTTTGCTCTTTTCCTGGGGATGTGGGAAGTTTTTAACGTGAGGAATTACGAGCATCCTTGGTAGGAAATGAAGAAATAGAGTCCTTTTTTTAAACCTGAACCATTTTGAGTGGGACGGCAGACTTCTGACTTCCCAAGATAATCCCGGAAGGACTCTACAGGAAATAAATACTTGCATCCAGTGCCAGAGGTAACAGGAAGAATGCCAGTGAAGAAGAAAGGTGGGCTATGAGAGGGGGGTTTGGTCTGGCTTTTGAACATAATTGGATATGTGACATGTGCCATTTTCCACTAAAAAGCATTTGAATAGGAGAATAAAACTATTTTTCGGTGGAGAGGGGAAAGAGGAGCAGTGCATCGTTGTTTACGTGCAAAAAAAAACCTTTAAAACTTCAAATAAAATAGTTTGGAGAGCTTTTGGTTTTTGTAGTGTTTCAGTAAAGGGAATCGGGAGGTGGGAACAGCTCCCATTATTTTATCCCGGCAATAATTTCATGCATAAACATACATAAATATAAACGATATCAGCAGTACTTTGTTCTGTGGGCAGGATTGGTGGAAGAATTCCCGGATAGATCTTACAAAATCATGACTTTAATTGCTTACAGAGTTCAATGTTATTAACTATTAGTGATTATTTTCTTTTATGAGAGGTGTGTCATTTGCCACTGTTTTAGGCATGTTCCTGAAACACACAACAATAGCTCTTATTTATTTTTAGCTGTCATGAAGTCAAAGCAAATAATGAGAAACATGAGTCAGGAACTCCCATTTCCAACATTAGGTTGAATAAAACGTCTTTTTAAGATTGACATGAATGTTTTTAAACTTCTCTAGTGAAATATGTTTCTTTGTTTTAAAAATAGCTCTGAAATGTCCAAATCGGCTCCACTTCATCAAATGCAAAACAATAAAAAAACTATTTTTTCACTGTTAAGGAGAGAGTCTCTAATATGAAAGGAGAAAGAGTTGGCTACTGCATTTTAAATATACCTTTATTTAACTTACTCTGTCCTCATTAAAAATCCTTGACAACTGAGTACAAGTTTTGTCTGAACCGCAATGTATCTATAGTTCTTTTATCACAATAAACGATAGGCATTTGGTCGTATGGAAGAAGCTAAAAGGGAATCCTTTTGCCCTAGGGATAAAATTTGTCACAAAGTCATACTGTTCCCTGTTTCATCCTGTCTTTTCAGAGGCCTTTTTGTTTGTTTGTTTTAGCATGTAAAACACTTCTTGCTCTCTGTTTTGGGGCTAGAAATATGTTCTTATATTTGCTAGTCTGGAACATAAGTATAAATCAATAAGGAGAAAGGAGAGGCTATTATTGCTTTGGGTTATTGTAATTCCTTGACTTGCTGTTCCCAGATAATGCATTAATTAATGGTGACATCTTTACGATTCAGCTTAATCATTACAATGCACCTGATTGGTGTTTTTATTTCTGAAAGTAATGGGAATGCACAGAAAGGGAGATAATTGATTGTACTGCTTATTAGTCATACTGAGCAAGCACAGGGAGCTTATCTGTCTTCCCCAAATTTCCTTCTTGTCATATTTCTAGATTTAGAAAGAGCAAATTCCAAATCTCTGGGCCATTTTCGTTGGGAATTTTGGCAGTTTGTAATCTCAATACATGTGGAAGACATCTGGTTGAGGAAGGAAGTCAAAATCGATATAATGACCCAAGTGTTGATTCTGTGGAAATGTTTGTCCCTGCCATGGCTGTAGCCTCCTGTGCAGACATAAAGGTTTTCGGAATATGTATCCAGGTGATGAGAAGAGAGAGAGAGAGAGAAAAAAGACTTATTTCCGATATTTGTGCTAGAATGAGATGTTAAAAATTGACTGCTTTGACCAAAACTCCAGATCCTTTATCATGTAGGGATAAGCGTCAGATGAACTTGACCGTAGACTCTCCAGAAACTAGAATCAACAAAGGTAGAAATTATATTTTTATTGTATTTCAGGAATGGTTGCTATAACAGATAGTTGTCAGCTACTGAACATGTGGGATCTTTTAATTCAAGATTCATACTTGGTCAGGTTGTAAACATTTCACACTTTATACAAGCCCATCTTATTTTGAGTCCTGAAAATGTCCATCTCATTCATCTGTGGTGATTCTCAGTCATCCAGGTCATAGTTATCTCAACGGTGCTTTTTTCTTCAAAAGACAACTGGACTGTTTTTCCCTTGAAGAAGACGTTTTGCTTCTCATCGAAGAAGCTTCTTCAGTTCTGACTGAATGGTGGAGAATGGAAGGATTTATGTTCCTTGCAGTCATCTGGTCATTTAGCACTCATTCTAAGAGTCATTGAGTCCCCTTGGAAGTTTATGTCTTGAGTCCCCTTGGAAGTTTGTGTCCTCAGGGTCACCTGAATAGTCCAAATAGGTATGGAGCCTTCTTGGAACTGCTGAAAGGACTGTGTTGTAAACAGAAGATAGGTGGTGTCGTATCTCTCTCCATCTGTTGAGAATGTGGACTGCTGGCTTGAAAGAAGGGTCAAAGAGGCCATCTACATTAAGTTTGAACAGTGCTCTCTTGACAGAGGAGGAGGGATACAACGCTACCCATATGCACTACTTAGATGACCCCAGGGGCACAGATAAACCTCCAAGGGGCCTCAATGACTCTCAGAGAGAGTACTAATGACAGATGACTGCAAAGAATATAAATCCTTCCATTCTCCATCATTCGGTCAGAACTGAAGAAGCTTCTTCGATGAGAAGCAAAAACGTCTTCTTGCTCAAAGGGAAAAAACCAACGAACAGTCCAGTTGCATTTTTGAAGAAAAAGGCACCTTTGAGTTCACCTCAGTTCTATTTAAGGTGCATCTCCTCCTCCCTAACTGAATCATATTAAGATTGGCTCACAGCAAGGGGCAGCCCCGACCCTTGCACGTGCAAGAAACATTGCATGGGTTTTTTTTTTTGTTTTCTTATCCTGAAGAAAATTAAGCCAGCTTCAGCAAAAACTCAGCATGAGCAGATGGGACCCCTGCATCAAGGCAGTCACATCTGGTCTTTCTTGCAGGTGTAAGCATTGCAGATTTTTTTTTTTTTGTCTTTCTGCAAACATCCTGCCTCGAAACTTAATGCATAGGAACAATCCGTTTTGCAAAGCAAAGAAATGGGCTTATTCTGGTTTTTTTTTTTTTTTTGAACTGCTATGGGACTCTTCTACCTAATGGGATGAATTGCAAGAAGTCATTTCTTGGCTTCAGCAAGCAAGTGATCCTTACCCTGTTAAAGCTAGTTTAGCTTGGTCAGGCCAAAACTGACCAATAATCTTCTATTATCTTCTATCTTCTATTTTATATATATATATATATATATGTGTGTGTGTGTGTGTGTGTGTGTATTGGTTTTCGTAGATTTTCACAGGTATAGGTATGTAGGTCTAGGTGACATTTCACTGAAATGTCACCAAGATACTCTTAATCTTACATGGGAGAAGACCCGAACACACCTAGACCTACACACACACACACACACACACACACACACACACACACACACACACAGTCATTTCTTTGCTTCAGCAAGCAAGTGATTCTTACCCTTTTAAAGCTAGTTTAGCTTGGTCAGGCCAAAACTGACCAATAATTTTCTATTCTATCTTCTATTTTATATATCGATATCGATATGTGTGTGTGTGTGTGTATGTTTTCTTAAGTTTTCGCGGGTACTTACATGTATGGTATTCAGCTTTGTTTGGGTATTTTCCCACGTCATTGTAGTTGTGCTTTTAAAGTTGTAGCAATGTTTCGGCAGAATCTCATCTGCCATCATCAGGCTTCTGGCAGATGGCAGATGAGATTCTGCCGAAACGTTGCTACAACTTTAAAAGCACAACTACAATGACGTGGGAAAATACCCGAACAAAGCTGAATACCATACATACATACATACATACATACATACATACATACATACATATTGGTTTTCGTAGATTTTCACAGGTATAGATATGTAGGTCTAGATGACATTTCACTGAAATGTCACCAAGATGCTCTTAATCTTACATGGGAAAAGACCCGAACACACCTAGACCTACACACACACACACACACACACACACACACACACACACACACGTAGTCATTTCTTTGCTTCAGCAAGCAAGTGATCCTTACCCTTTTAAAGCTAGTTTAGCCTACAAACTTGAAATTTGGCACATATGTTCCTCTTGGCTTCTAGGTGCTCACTAAGAAAGGATTTTTTGAAATGACCATCATCAGACCATCCTATATTATTAACACTCTCTGATGCTAAGGAGTTCTACTCCCCCTCCCCACCTGAAAAGAAGCCTGTTCCAAATATAAAACATAAGCAAAGGAGAGGAGTTTCAGTTTTACTTTCACAGCAGCAACCAGCTTTAGTACAGAACAGTTGAGCTAAGCCACACTCAGGCTCCTTGCTGTCTCCTTGCCCACACAGCAAATGCTGCTTCAGTTTCCAAACAGCCCTCAACTCTCTCACACACATTGACAGGATGCTAACCAGATGAATACCGATGGATGGTGGTAGGCAGAGGCACATTTTTTCTCTCCTTATTTTCCTCCCCCAAAACTAAGCCTGATCACATAGTTTCCTAGCGAAGCACGGGTATACAACTAGTCATAAATTATTTTTCCCAGTTTTGGTTTGACCAAGCTAAGACTAGCTTTAATGTAAAATGTCTTACAATTATGTTTATATTCTACGTAGATTTTTACATTTTACATTAACTACATAGATTTTATATAATCTATGTAGTTAATGATGTTAATTACAGCTTTACTTGCACATGGAACAAATGTGTGGCTCAATTTTGGGAGTTTGAGGCATTTTAAGATGAAAATGCTATAGGTTGGGAGCAAGGGTGTGGATCTTATTGGTACAATATCTGGGTGTGTTTATATTGGGGGGATATTAAGATTTAAACAACATCCAGCCTGATTGAAGAATGACAGCTTTGTCTTACTAAAATAAAATAAAAACCTCATAATATGTTTTGGATAACTTAAGAGAGACTGTGCATTAAATATTCAACGTGAGGATCAGCTAGAAAATCATAGCCGGTCCATTTTAGTGGGTAATATTTATTATACTCAAGGAAGGCTTAAAAAGAAGCACTGAAGAGCAATGGATTGAACTGAGAAGATGCTTTAAGCAGGAAGCTGCCATAATATTTGTTACACAGCAGCCTGAGAAACTAGCATTAGATCTAAAA